GGCACGGATAGGCGGCACTGATAGACAGCACTAATGAGGTGTCATGGATAGGCGGCACTAATATGCAGCACTGATAGGTGGCACTGATAGGTGACACTGATGATGGGTACTGATAGACGGCACTGACTGGCATCACTGCTGGGCACTGACTGGCGGCACTGACTGGCACAACCGCTGCGCACTGACTGGCAGCACTGCTGGGCTGCACTGGTGGGTGGCACTGGTGGGCAGCACTGGTGGGTGGGCACAGGTGGGTGGCACTGGTGGGCACAGGTGGGTGGGCACAGGTGGGTGGCACTGCTGGGCACAGGTAGGTGGCACTTCTGGGCACAGGTGTGTGACACTGCAGAGAGCACTGCTGGCACAGGTGGGTGCACTGCTGGGCACAGGTGGGTGATCTGCTGGGCACAGGTGGGCGGAGCTAGTGGGCGCACTGCTGGGCACAGGTAGGCGGAACTTGCGGGTGGCACTGCTGGGCACCAATCATCAGAACTGGCACTTGCATTTCCCTCTGATCAACGTGTCATTGGACACCGCTGATCACGTGGTAAAAGGCCGCTGTGATTGGCCTTTTACCACATCACGTGATCAGCTGTGTCCGTAGGACACATCGATCGCGGAGATCGCCGGGTGCGCACCCCCTGAGGCGCGCAGGAGAGCGCGTTCTGGGAGGACGTCATATGACGTCACCCACTCAGAACTGGCCGGCCGCAGTGCAGCCGTCATTCGGCTATCTGTGGTCGGCAACTAGTTAATATCATTGAACCACTCAGGGGAGATCTCAAATGTGCGGGTCGTGCAAGACAACCAAAGACTTTGCATGACCTGGAGGCATTTTGACAAGACAAATGGGCAGCTATACCACCTGCAAGAATTCGAGGATAACAAACAACTATTGCAAAAGGCTGCACAATGTCATTAAGGGTAAATGGGACAATACACAGTATTAAGAACTAAAGGTATGCAGATGTTTGAACAAGGGGTCATTATACTTGTTTACTTGCTGCCATGTTTTTTTTTTACGACTGTACTATTCTGTTATGACCTACAGTTGAATATGCATCCCGTATGAAATAAAAGAAATGTGTTTTGCCTGCTCTCATGTTTTCTTTAAAAATTGTACATACTGTATACAGTTCTCCAAGGGTTCGCAAACTTTTGAGCACAATTGTATATGGGGCTTTTATTAGAGAGCAGCTTCCTTCTCTCTTTTTTCATTTAAAAGTGGAAGCAACTAGTGAACCCTGGGAACCTGCAACCGGAGTTGGAGGAATGAGGTAGATGTGTGCTTGAAGCAGAAATAAATACTTTCTACTGCATTGGTGACTACATTGTTCCATAAAATTCATCAGCACATCAGAAATCAAGAGAGATGCTGAGTCTCCTCAGGACAGCTCTCAACCAACTCCCCAGCTAATAGGACAGAGTATTCTCACCCCAGCCATAGAAGCCCAGTCTACCCATTCAGTATAATACAGGATCATCCTGGTTCGCAATGTTAAATGTTCTGTCCCATATTAATTCAATAAAGGACACCAGGGGCAGTGTGTGGGTTGGCTGCCAGCATTCTAGCAACCAATGATATGCTGTGGGATGCACAGCATTGCTCGTTACTAGGATGCAGGCAGTTGGTTAACCAAGGATTGAGGGAGGCAAAAATGTTTATCTTTGGCAACAGCCACCCATTCCGTACATTGCAAACAATGTTTTAAAAACACCACTCACCTACTCATAAATCATGGCACCAAATTGCTCCTTAGACACAATTTCCTTTTTAGCTTTGTTTTGTTAAGTTTGTATCAGCAGCACATTGCACATAAATTTCAATACAGAGGTTAATTTTGCATTAAGTGTGTTAGTTCCTATATAGTGCCAACCTATGTATAAAAGGAAAGAGATATTGCCAAGCATCATACACAGTGTAAATAAAGCCATTAGTGGGATCTGATTTATGCCAAAGGAATCTGTGACCCATCTCTGTTATCAGCTGTTGGTATGGACTCACCCAAGGAGTGAACAGTCATCACCCGTATACCATATAAAGAGGTATGGATTTCAGTACAGGCTGTCTCCATTACAAGACCCTTTGGTTATCTTTACTTACAACAGCTGACTTGCGGATAGAAGTCCACTTCCGAGTTGCCATAAGGAGGTAAGGGCCCTGAAGCATCAACAGCATGAGGAAAAAAAGCCACAGTCAGAATAGGTGACAGAAAGATGAAAAAATCCAAAGGACAAGCCAAAGTCATAAGCTAAAATAAAAAATGATCAGAACAAAATGGTGGCCACACTCCTGACCCTTGCACTCTGTACATTAGTTACTCCTGACCCCTGCACTGTGCAATACTTGATTCTGTTCCCTGCACTGTGTGCTTTATACACTCCTGACCCCTACACTCATGTGCATTACATGCTTTTGATGCAGAACAAAGTAGGCCCAGGTTTTATGTAACCATACCCTTTGAGTCCCTCCCAAAGGAGGCCATACCATGCACCACAATCAGCCCCACCCTTGTTCTTTCTGGTAGATACAGCTCATTCCTGTAGCCCTTGAAAACTAGTAAGCAAGCTTTCAATTTGGGTGGAGATAGCATTTATTTATCTATTTATTGTCATATGAGTATATTTACTGAAAAATATGCCAAGCTCAGCATGCAGGACCCCATCCAGCTTCACAGTCCTGGAAACAGCAGAAATCTCACAGTAAATTAAAAACAGTGCCATGTATCAGCACAGATGGCTTTCCCCCTCTGGCACACACCTTCTTCCGTATAACATCAAGACAGTCACCAGCATATGCAGATTTTGCCTGCAGCTTAACATACAGATATAATTTCTGTGTACTGGATGCAAAATTATAGAATCAAACCAGTAGGTAGTTATCAGTAAATGGAAATCTGCTGCACCTTTAATTTGCTGAAATAATTTTACAGCGTTTGGAGCCAATAATCTGCCTTTTTTGTTTTTACTTGTTCTTCAAAAAAAAATTAATCCACCCTTCATAAAAACTATGACCCTGGTGCAGCAGGTACTGTATATGGCAAAGTATTCCAATAGGAAGAGCTGAGGGGATAATTGTGTATACAGGAGAGACCTCTGTGAATTTGCCCTCTTGCCCCTATTGCCCACTACACACAATGAGAATATAGGATGAAAGAAAAATTGCTTTCAGAACGATCGTATGATAATCTGATCGTTAGTACACAGCTTTCAACAACCGATCGCAACAGTTAATGCGACAATATCCAAAGGGGCAAGCACAAATGTTTTTTTTCTCGTAAGATAACAAAGCAAAGGATTTTCGATTAATTGGTACAGTATTCCTAAAGAAAAGAGAGACCAAGACCACACATGCTTGGAAACAAAAGAATTAATTACATAACAATACAATATATTACATCTCTTCTGAAGTTCTATTCTGTCATATGAGAATTTTCGTAACTTAAGTTACTTAAAACAAAAATCCATCCCTGGTAAAAACTATGACTCTGCTGCAGTAGGTACTGTATATGCCATAGCATTCCCATAGAAAGAGCTGAGGGGATAATTGTGCATACAGGAGAGACCTCTGTGAATTTGCCCTCTTGCCCCTATTGCCCCGTATACACAATGAAAATATAGCATGAAAAAAATTGCTTTCAGAGCAATCGTATGATAATCTGATCGTTAGTACACAGCCGATTACAACAGTTTATACGACAATATCCAAAGGGGCAAGGATGAACATTTTTCTCGCAAGATAACAAAGCAAAGGATTTTCGTTTAATTGGTATAGTATTCATAAAAAAAAAAAAGAGAGACCAAGACTACACATGTTCGGAAACAAAAGAATTAATTACATAATAATACAATATATTACAGTACATCACTTCCAAAGTTCTATTCTGTCATACGAGAATTTTCGTATCTTAAGTTACTTAAAACAAAAATCCACCCCTCATAAAAATATGACTCTGGTACAGTAGGTACTGAATATGGTGAAGTATTCCCATAGGAAGAGTTGAGGGGATAGTTGTGCATACAGGAGAGACCTCTGTGAGTTTGCCCTCTTGCCCCTATTGCCCCATACACACAAAGAAAATATAGGATGAAAAAAAATTGCTTTCAGAGCAATTGTATGATGATCTGTTCATTAGTACACAGCTTTCGACAGCCGATTATTTATTTATTTCAGGTACTTATATAGTGTCATCAATTTATGCAGCGCTTTACATATATATTGTACATTCACATCAGTCCCTAACCCTCAAGGGGCGTACAAGCTAAGGTCACTAACTCACATTCATACATACACATACTAGGGCCAATTTAGACAGGATCCAATTAATCTACCAGCGTGTCTTTGGAGTGTGGGAGGAAACCTGAGTACCCAGAGGAAACCCATGCAGGCACAGGGAGAACATGCAAACTCCAGGCAGGAGGTGCTGTGGCTGGGATTTGAACCAACGAGCCTAATACTGCCAGGTGGAAGTGCTAACCATTTAGCCACTGTGCTGCCCCATGATTATGACAGTTCATGCGACAATATCCAACATTTTTCTCATAAGATAACAAAGCAAAGGATTTTCGTTTAATTGTTACAGTATTCATAAAAAAAAGAGAGACCAAGACCACACATGCTCGGAAACAAAAGAATTCATTACATTATAATACAATATAATACATCACTTCCAAAGTTCTATTCTGTCATACGAGAATTTTCATAACTTAAGTTACTTAAAACAAAAATCCATCCCTCATAAAAAATATGTCCCTGGTGCAGCAGGCACTATATATGGCGTAGTATTCCCATAGGATGAAAAAAAATTGCTTTCGGAGCGATTCTACAGTAATCTGATCATTAGTACACAGCTTTCAACAGCCAATCACAACAGTTCATGCGACAATATCCAAAGGGGCAAGCACAACATTTTTTCTTGTAAGATAACAAAGGAAAGGATTTTCGTTTAATCGGTACAGTGTTCATAAAGCACATGCTTGGAAATGAAAGATTTCATTACATAACAATACAATATTATTATTATTATACAGGATTTATATAGCGCCAACGGTTTGCTCAGCGCAAGGGCGGACTGACAACTCATGGGGCCCCCGGACAATAGGGGATCATGGGGCCCCTGTGTCTTTGCCCAAACTCAAAAAAGCCTATGAAAAAGGTACCAGGGGTATCTCATGGGGCCCCCTACTGACCCTGGGCTCTCGGGCAGTGCCCGAGTTTCCAAATGGTCAGTCCGCCCCTGGCTCAGTGCTTTACATTACAGTGGGAGACAACACAGTAACAATACAGTTCAATACAAGAGGGATTTGAGGGCCCTGCTCCTTGGAGTTCACAATCTAGGAGTATATTACATAATTTCCTAAATTCTATTCTGTTGTACGAGAATTTTCATAACTTAAGTTACTTAAAACAAAAAAAGGAGGAAATATTGTATAATACTGATTCCAGACATTGCATTTATAAATATCCTTTTCTTCTTTTTTTCTAAGTGACCACATAACCCCAGTTCTCAGCTGTATAAGCGGCTTGGAGAGTGTAAAAAAAAACATTAAAAAAAAAAAGATAAAAAAAAAAAGCAAGCAAGGAGGGCCAGCAGCTAAACAGCAACTGAAGTTTTTGCTGCTACACACAAAAAGGTATGGATCTCTTCCCAGTATGGTGTTATCTATTCATATCCAAATGTCCCCCACTGAGTGTAAATATAGGTATTTTTAACAGCATTGTTTAGGGTGACAGTGTCTCTTCCTGCAAACACTGTGTGATCTACCCCTATCCATTCCAGGTCTGTTCACACACAGTAGGCATTTATGTAAATACAACACTTTTCAACAATCTGCAGCAGCAACTGCAAAGACTTTTGTCTATCCCTATCTGCTACAGGTTTCAGCAAGTCTATTTGTGACTCAATGTAAATATAGCAATTTTAATCAATCAGCAACTATCTTTCCCTTCAAACACCCTGTCTTTAAACACTCTCTGTTTTCTCCAAAACACACTGACAAAAGGATTCTGGTAACCCTGACATTTTTAGGGAGGGTGATGGCATGTGAGAAAACCCCCTTCCAAGCCACCTGACAGCAGTTCAGAAACCAGGGAGTGCATTATTGGTAACTGGTTGCTACCAGGGGCGGACTGACCATATGGGCACTACCCGAGGGCCCTGGTCAGTAGGGGGCCCCATGTGATGTCCCCTGGTACCTTTTCATAGGCTTTTTTGGGTGTGGTTTGATAGTGGGCAAGGACACAGGGGCCCCATGATCCCCTATTGCCCGGGGGCCCCATGAGTTGTCAGTCCGCCCCTGGTTGCTACAGAAGCTAACGGCCGAATTAGTTCACCATTTAATTGCCAACAACTTGGATTCTGGTCAACTAACATTCTTCCTTAACGCAAAGCTCATCCCTACTATACCAAGCTACTCCAGCGCATTGTGTCTGAAAAATATATGAACTAGTTGATCTGCCAGAGCTGAAATATTCATCATATCCTCTTAACAAATAAGAACAAGAGTTTCACAGAACATTAACAGATGAGCAAAAAAAATTACCATCCTGCAGCTATCATATCACATCTGTGGATTCTAAAAAGGAAGAGATGTAATTTAAACTCCTAACTAGATGGTACAACATCCCACCTAGAGTCCATCAAACTGACCCCTTAGATTCAGTTGATTGTTGAAGGTGCTGCAAAACCCTGGATTCCTTTTGTCCGCAACTGATGGCATTGCCCTGGTATACAGAAATACTTGACTGTTGGACTTGCAGAATACCGAGGCTAATACTTACCCCTAATCCATAAAACACCACCACCCTTCAAAAACCTTCCCCACCCAAATAGATACGCGACTCTCTTTCTGGTGTAAAAACTGGCCATAGCAGCCATTTATTTACCATAACTCAAACATAACATTTCTTACAGTAAACTTAATTGATACCTGACAGTATGATCCCAAACCGGGTCCAAGGTCTTCGAAGGCACCATTACTCCCATCACAAACGCAGCTGTATCTGACACCCAACGAAAGGCCCCCAGCCGCTACTACACCGCCTCGGGGACAATACTACAGTTACTTAGTCCCGGATACAGCCAATGAACTCCCACATTACCAACATGACCTTATAATTGGGAAGGGACACCCATATCTACGATGGGCCCAACCCATAATTCACCAACTTGTCACTCCAACACCGCCTTCAAAGACCCATCGACCCCTGCCGGCTGCCATGACAAAACAAACAAACAAACACTTCGGGACACAAACAGCTGTCCTGGACAATGAACAAACACAATGAACCCACATAAAACAAACACCACGAACAAACCAAACCAAACAGCCAAACCAACACCAGGACAAACACAAGGACAAATCATAACCAACACATCAAACAGAATACAAAAAAAAAAACAACTCCAGGGAGGGAGGGAGGGCGGGAGAAACCACCTCCGTGATGGCACAGCTCCGACTGACTCCGACAAGACCCAACCCCCCTTTTCAAATCCCGCAAGACCACCCCTCAATGATGCGTACTCCAATCAAGTAAGTAACCCCCCCCCTTTCCTCTCGCTTAGACTCCCACCTAAATTACACTCTCCGCCTCGTCTGCACGCCCCAGTCATGCTGGCCCTCCCTTTTAGCTTCGCTCAGTCCAGGCCTTGACTGGAAGGACATAAAGCGGATCATTCATATCAAAATGCCAAATATGGCATATGACCAATTCTACCCACACCTGGGTAGGCTTGTCAGAGTTTAAACCATCGACCCCATTAGCATACATGGCCTCCAGCTAATATTGTCTGAACACAACCTTAACAATGGTAGTTCCTTTGTCCAAAATAATTGTAAAAAAAGGTAAAGGGACACGAAATTTGTGAAAGCAAAATGTCGTAATATGATCTTGACTAAAATGGCTTCCACATGCATTGAGAATGATTTTCTATATATATTGTTAACTGAGATGCACTGTTTATCAATTTACTTGGCTACCACCCTTCCCACCTTATGACCCTTGTGTGTTTTAACCCCTCTCTAGATCTATGCCCCTTTTATCTTTACATTTTGTTATATGTTTGAAGACTGTTGGAATATTTTTTTTTAAGAAAACGCTAAATCCCTTATTTGTTACCTTCCTTAAGGAAGATAAAAACTAAAAAAAATGAAAAAAAACCCCCCCCGAAAACCAGACTCTATTATTTTACATTATTTAGAGTAATTGCTGGAATCTGATTTTTGATTGGTTGGGCAAGTATTACATCTCAGTAAGATTTGACTGTTTTCCATTAAACCAGTTTCTTCATTCAGATTTCAATGTAAATAATTTAGAGATTTACAACCTGCAGATTGCACTGTAATGATTCCTTTGTAATATGAAAAGGCAGCTTAGGTCATTGAGTCCTGCTGAGTGTTTGTAAAATGTCTGGAATACAAATGTGCAATTTTTTATTAAATCTATCATTTCTAGGCAAGCATGCTGAATGCTGAAGGCAGAGCAATAATCTATAGAACCAATAAGAGCCCAGGTAGAGTTATCTCTGCTTCCTTAAATGCAAGGGTGGTGATGTATTTTCATTAGAGGCATGTTAAGCATGTTATATTTTACCGCTACTCTCTCTGAGGACTACAGAATCCAGTCATCTATGTTAGGCTAGGTTCATACTATATACGGGTGTGGGACTGTGTGTAATCACACGCTTTCCCCATCAAATACGTGCTGCTGTTAGGAGACGCACAGGGTTGCCATTAAATCTTAAAGATAAGCCCGAAGCAAAAAAAATAAAAAATAGGCAAAGGGCTACATGACAAGAGGGACAGGGGATACAAGGCAGGAGAGGGTAAAGGTATAGTTGGTTAGAAAGGTGGCCACTTACCAGATTAGAGAGTTTATGGAGAGTAGGTGGAGCTGCTGGGGGGTATACCAGAAGACCCAAAGAGCGTAAAGTTCTTGGGAGCAGCAGACATGAAGGAATCTCCCCGCCCTCCCCCCTGCTGTTGTTTGTTTTCATTCAGGTTCTAGGGTATTTGGTGGTTGGGATCTTTGGGGGCATTAACATTTTCAGAAAGGTTCATAGCAGTGACCCATCTAAGGTATGGCGTCCTCTGTTGGATCCCAGTTAATGGGGTATTATCTGGGAAGTGGCAACAAGTAGGTGTCTGCAGCGAAGTGGGTTTGACCCCAAGCTGGTGTTTTGCAGCTGATCGTGAAGTAGTAAAGCAGATACACAACCTGATGTTGTTTCTCAAGTGCCTCCCAAGATCAGCAACCTGAATATTATGGCTACTGGTTTGTGAGTATGATTTCTGTTTTAAGGAATGTTATTTTGGTTATGAGTTAAATTATTAATTAGTATAAGTTGTGAAGGGTACCTATGGTAAAATTTAGAATGAATTGGAGACATATGGGTTACCCTAGTCATGATACCCCCATGTGCTGGAAACCACAGCGGATTTTCCTCTGCTGGGAATTACAAAGCACATGTGGTTTCCCTGTGGCTGCAATTTTGGAAACGGAGCGGAGACCTTTTACTTGCGTTCTCCATATGTAAAGCAGGCCATGTCTTAGGCTTAGTTCACATTATTGCAGGTCAGGAATGCTTGCAACATTACCCATCTTCCCGGCCCACAAAAAAAAGTGCTGCTCTTTGGCAGATGCACAGGGGTGCCCTTTATTCTTCAATGGCACCCCCATGCATCGGGAAATGAGGTGTGATTTTGTGTCTGCCAAATTGCATGTCAGTGCAAAGCCATGCGACTCAATGTCACAATTAAAAAAAAAGTAATGGACTTCTTTCCTTGCTTTTCTGCAGGTAGGGCAACCCATTAAAATGAATGGGCTACCTTCACCAAGAACACAGGTAGCACAAATGTGAACCTAGTCTTACAGATGCAGCACAACTTCCTTAGGAGTCACTAGAGATTTGAGTCCCCCTATAGTCCTGCACAGCCAGGCAACACGCATTTCACTCAGACCTTGCACTCCAGAGACAGTAAACAGTCTTTGAACTTGTTTTTTGGGATTTTATTAAGGGGTTTAAAAACCTGGATGGGGATGAGGGATACATGGAATGCCCAAGAAACTGTAGAACTAAGGAAATCTTCATGGAACTATGTAAAAGTAGTCAGAAGGGTTTTCTCTTCTTGGAGGGCTATCCAGTCACTCTTTGTGTATCACCTCAGACCCCAGATGAAATCTTCTCTTCACACAGCGGCCTGAGGGAATCCCTGGCCAAGAGGTTCCAGAAGCTGCCACTTTAGATGAAAGCAGTTCCAGATGGGGGCTAGTCAGGTTTCCCACCTGAATGCCCTTTCTCCTTATCCGGCCCAGAGGGTATGGGGGTTACTTACTCAGTCTCACCTGAAAGCTTGTGGGTTGGAGGCTGCCTTCAGGCCTTATGCTAGGCTGGCTCTTTTCCTGCTTCCCAGGCTGTCCTCTCTCTTGGGATGGTGAGGCTGATAGATCCTCCCTTCCAGCTCCTTCACCTGTATGTAGGCCCCTCTCCTGGTCACCCCTCCCAAGCTCCACACACCATTCTATTCTCTCCATCTTCCACCCGAACTCTCCTGCTGCTGAACAGGCTGGGTCACTCTTCAGGGCCATCCTGACCCCATGTTAAGCCTCCTGCTTGGGGATTGGCCAGGATCCCTTGAGAGTGCAGACCAGCCACTTCTCATCTCCACCCAGTGAATTCTAGATACTTCTCCAAGTCTCTAGATCAGGGGGAGGTATCAGAGAGCTGATCTGCAGAGCCCCTCAGTCCTGACTAAAATTTTACCCCTCTCTGACTATCACTTCCTGATTGCTACTCAGCTTCTATCTAAAAAATTATTAACTTAGCTTCCCCTAGCTACCTAGGAGGGTGCTACATAGAGAAGGTGAGGAGGTTTCTGTAGTCCTGTCCTATGTTGTTTTGATAAATTAGGGTGGAAAAAGAAAAAGGAAAAGAAGAGTGTTACTGGCTGAATCACCAGTTAAAATAAAGGGAACAAGCCTGAAAAATCAACTAATACAGCCATCTTACTTTACATAAGCTGGAGTATATTACATTTTCGTTGTTGTTTACTTATACTTGAAAGGTTAGCTATTCATAGAAACGTAGAAAAGTGACGGCAGAAAAAGACCAAGTGGTCCATCGAGTTGAGTGGTTTTTTTTTGGGAGGGGGGGGGGTTTTTTTTTTGTTTTGTTTTTGTATTTTTTTTTTTTTTTTTTTTACTTTTTTACTTCTGAGTATAGATCTATGCTTGTCTCAAACATGTTTGAAGCTATTTACTGTTGATTGGCTCACTACCTCTGCTGGAAGTTTATTCCAAGCATCAACTACTCTTTCAGTAAAATAGTTATTTCTGAGATTAGTTTTGAACTTTCCTCCAGTTATTTTAAAGTCATATCCCCGTGTTCTTGATTTTGGTTTCGTGTTGAAAATACTAATGTCCTGAACCTTACTCACCTCCTTGATGTATTTAAAGGTTTCAGTCATGTTTCCCCTTTCCCTTCTTTCCTCCAGACTGTACATGTTAAGTTCCTGAAGTTGCTCTTGATATGTTTTATTCCCCAGACCTTTCATCATTTTTGTTAGCTGTCTCTGGACTCGTTCTATCTTATCAATATCTTTTTGTCTTCAGTACTGGACACGGTATTCTAAATGAGGTCTAACTAAAGATCTATATAGGGGAATCAGGACCTCCTTCGTTGTGCTGGTGACCCCTCTAGTGATGTATCCTAAAATTCTAATTTCTATCCCCACTACCTGACCACACTGTTTGCTCATTTTGCAATCATCTGAAAGAAGTACCCCCAAGTCCTTTTCCTCTGAAGTGCTGACAAACACTGTACCCCCAATGTTGTGCTCTCCTGAGGGATTCTTTTTCCATTATTTTACATTTAGAAACATTGAACTTCAATTTTCACTTTTGTGACCAATCTTCCAGCAATGCCAAATCATGTTCCATGTTACAGACACCTCCAGGGATATCAACCCTATTGCACACCTTTGTGTCATCAGCAAAAAGACATACCTTACCCAACAAACATTTCGTAATTTCACTTACATATAGATTAAATAGAACAGGACCTAGTACAAAGCCTTGTGGTACACCACTGGTGATTGGTCTCTGTTTCGAGTTAACTCCATTTACAACCACACTCTATCTATCCTTTAGCCAGCTGCATATCCACTGAACCACCCAAGGGCTAACTCCTAGCTTTTACAACTTTTGTATTAGATCATTATGTGGAACTGTATCAAATGCCTTGCAGAAATCAAGATATGCTATGCCCACAGCCCCACCCTGTCAAAAACATTGGTAATATAGTAAAAAAAAATCCAGCCAGATTAGTCTGACATGATCTGCCCTCAGTAAAGCCATGCTGCTTTGGATTCAGCAAGTTGTGTATTTTTAAGTGATCAATGATCCTTCCTTTCAGGAGTGATGCCATTAACTTGACTACAACCGATGTTAAACTCACTGACCTTCTACCTTGGTGACCTTCTTGTGCATAGGAACAATATTAGTTGTCTGCCAGTCATGGGGAACTTCTCCTATTAGAAGACATTGATTAAAAATATCAGTTAATGGTTCAACAACAACTATACCTTCAAATTCTCTCATAACTCTGGGATGAATATCATCAGGGCCCATTGCTTTATTAATCTTTAACCGAGCCAATTCCTCTGCTACCCCTGTCTCCGGAAATCCTAAAAATGAACCATCATTAATAGAACCAATATGATTTCCCAACTTATTATTGCTAGTATTATTTATTTCTGAGAATAATGAATAAAAGTAATTGTTTAACCTCCTTGGCGGTATTCCCGAGTGTAGCTCGGGGTAACATTTCAGTACCAAAAGCGGTAACCCCGAGCTACACTCGGGCTTACCCTGCGGCACTGCTCCGGCATGTGTTCTTCACTTACCTTACCCTGCGCTCCCACGATGTGTCCCCTGCAGCATCCCCGGCCATCTCCTCCGGCCGATGCCGGCATCCGGCTTCTGTGTCCTGTCCCTGTGACGTCGGGACGCACGGGCGCTGCCGCCGCCGGCGGCGGCGGGAAATTTAAAAATTTTAAAAAATGTCATTTTTTTTTTTTTTTAGTAAAACATTGCTGTCTCAACCAATTTCACATACATATTGTCCCTAGTGCTTTGTCCTGCGCCCTGCCTGCATTTTGTCTGTTCTTTCTGCCTGGAAACTGAGAAATGTCCATGGCGTCCAAAAAGTGTCCCTTTAGGTCAAAAGCGGTTTAGGTCAGCTAGAGAACAGCGATAGTAAATCAGAACCACTTGCAGAATTGAGTGATAATGTTTCGTGGGGGAAATTCGTCATCAGACACTGAAAACGATTTTGCGACTGAGCTCAGCAATGTGCGAACTTGGCGCTCTATTTCACATTTCAGTGTTTTTGGTTTTGATTATATTATTGAATTAAATTTTTTATTATTTTTATATTATTTTTATGATTATTTATTAAATTATAATTTATGATTTTGTGTTTCAAATTTTATCATACCCGGGATGTTTACTAGACTCTTGTTCGGACAGATTTCAGTGAGTTTTTCCTAAAAATTACAGCCTACAATAAAAAAACTACATATTTCCATGCAAAAAAATGGTACCGCTTTCAGCACCAAAAATCTGAAATAATCATACCGCCAGGGAGGTTAAGTGGTTTGCTACATCCATGTCTCCCTTAACATAAGTGTTGTGCCCAGTTTTCATTTTAGTGATCCCATCATTTTTTCTTTTTATCACTAATGTACCTTCTTTCTTAATATATTTAGCAATTTCCTCCTCTTTCTGTGCTTTGGCAGCACTGGTAATGTGTTTGGCCTCCTTTTGTCTATTCTTATACTCTTCTCTGTCAGCTACACCTTCTCTTTCCTTGAATCTCCTATATGCTGATTTTTTTTCCTTTACTATCCTACTTATCTCTTTAGTAAACCATATTGTTTTTTTTCTTCTGTTTATTCTTACTAACTTGCCTGACATATAATCTAGTTGCCTCCAGGATGGTAGACTTTAACAGTGCCCATTGATTACTTACTCTTATCGTTTTACTCTAGCCTTTCAACTCATTTTTTAGAAATTCACCCATTTCAGCAAAATTTGTATTTTTGAAATCTAAAACTTTTGTTTTTGTATATGATTTCTCAGTGTTTATTTTAATATCAAACCAAAAACATTGGTGATCACTAGAACCCAAATGTTCTCTCATCTCAACATTAGACAGTCGTTCCCCCTTTGGCAGTACTAGGTCTAGAATATGATCGTCTCAGGTTGGACTTTTTACTAACTGTTTTAAAGAAGACACATTTAGTGCTTCCATTACATCCCTGCTCCTGCTTGTAATAGCGGTTTGAGAATTCCATGTCAGGCATGTTGAAGTCACCCATACTCAAAACCTTCCCCTTCATTGCCATTTGAGCTATCTCGTCAATCAACAAGTTATCATAATCTTCAGTCTGTCCTGGGAGTCTGTATATTACACCAATTCTAAGGGAAGACCTCACTCTGATTGGAAGGCAGACCCAGAGGGTTTCGAGTATCTCATTTGTTTTTTGAATTAATGTTAGCCTTATGCTATTTTTTACATATATGGAAACTCCACCCCCCTCTTCCCTATTCTGTCTTTCCTGTGTAGTGTATATCTTGGTATAGTTATTTCCCAGTCATTTGTTTCAATCATTTTGTTTCCCTCTGTGGGCATACACTTATATATACCACTGTACAATCTAAAGTAGTTTGTCAGCAGATAGGTAAGAAGCACTTATTGCAGATGAGACAATGCAATAACCCCCCCCCCCCCATTGGCTTTTTGTCCTAAAGTAATGCTCCAATGTCTCCCTAATCAATTATTTTATATAATGTTCTGCAATAAGTCATGGGATACGGAGGGATGAGGTTCTTTTAGGAATGGGGGGTGAGGATTGCTCTACACTGCATCTAAATGCACAGGTATATGAAATATCATCAGATCCTGCAAGCGTGCTCTGATGTCCTCTGTAGTGAATATCCATGTAATATGACTTAGTATGTTCTTTTGTGATTGATAGTGTATTATTCTTTATAAAACTTACCCAAAGTCCTTCAAACTTGAACACATGGTGAATGTACTATGAGTGTACAGTATAACTTTGACTTTTTTTTATGCTTTTGCTTTTAGATCTCTGTAATCCCTTTGATTTCAATATTGGATGGCTCCCAGTGCTCATAAAGAGATAATGTGATAATGTGAAGAATAAAATGGATGAGGAAACTGGATAATGAATTCCCTTATTCTTACTGATCTGTTGATAGACTCCCAAGAAACTGTTATCGACTTTAAGAACCAAATTCATAGACAGAATATCTTCTTATACTCTCACTTTAGAAATAGATTTAGTAGGGTTGGTTTACTAAAAGAGTAAAAAGTGAGAGTTCACTTAGCTCAGTGGCCTCAAAACTGCAGCTTGTGGGCCATATGCAACCCTTTGCTTGCCTTTATCTAGCACTTGGAACACCATTTCTCCGACTGATACAGGCACTATTCCTTCCACTGACAACAACGATAAGGTACCATTCCTTTGACTAACATCAATGATGGTAGCACTAATTACCATATTCTTCCTTGATGTGATACTCCAACATCAGAATCATATTCAGAGTAAGTCTAAATCATGGAAAAGTAGTCCTATTTTGGGTTGCCCACAAAGGGCATGCTTGTGTAGCACTACCCCCTTAGGAGTTGCTGAAGTTTGGGTCCTGTACAGCCAGGTAACAAGCATTTCCACAATAACTTGCATCCAGGAAACAGCAACCAGTCCTTGAGGCAGTTTTAAAGTTTTATTAGGGGATTTATAATTTGGATAGGGTTAGGGGTGTATGGGATGCCCAATGGAACTGTGAAACCAAGGACAACTCCTGGAACTATATACAATGTTTTACAACAAAACCTCTTCTTGGAGAGCCATCGTCTACAGTTCTACCACCACAGATCCCAGATGAATCCTCCTCTCATCTGGCTATCCGAGGGAAATCCTTGAGTTGGGGATCCAGTTCCTGCCACATTAAAGTAAGATAGTCCCGGATAGCTGCTAATCTGGTTCCCCACCAAAGTGCTGCTTCCCCTATTTGGCCCAGGGGGTGCAGGTCTACTCACTTAGTCGCTTTCCTGTGCTGCTGGTGAGTCAGTGACTGTTACCCAATCTTCTAGCTTGCCAGTGAAGTTCCAAATTTTCCTCCTTCCAGGGTGAAAGTGCCCAGTAAGTAGTTAAAGTCCGGTCACATGAGAGTCTTCTTACAGTTATTTTCAATTTAAAATAAAGGATAAAAATATCAGGACTGTAAAAGTATCTGTTGCTCATACTACCCAGTCAGAGGCTCTGTGACACCAGAAAAATTACAGTTGGCATTTGATTGGATGCAACTAGCAACACCTCTTGCACTTTACACTGCTGAGCTGAGCCAGACTACTACTTCTCAGTATCACAGATGTTCTTTGGTGTCTTTGTACATAGCCAGTCTAGATATTGTCAATTTAAAAGGATAACAATTGCAGGACTGGTTGCTCACACTATCCAATCAGAGGCTATCTTTTATTTATTAATGAAACCAGAAAAATTACAACTGGCATTTGATTGGCTGCAACACCTCTTGCTCTTCACTCTGCTGAGCTTAGCTGCTACTTCTCAGTATCACAGATGTTCTTTGATGTCTTTGTACATAGATGGTCTAGATGTATTTAACATCCTTCTCATACTATAAAGAGGCGGTGTTTCTGCATATAAAACACTCCCCAGCTATTAGCATACCCAGCTAGCTATTTCTGTTTTACTCACATATCTCATTCTGATGTCCTCACACTAGAGAAAAGCATTGTATTTCACATCTGTTCCTCCCTGTGAGATAGAATAGAGATGAATGCCAGTCTCTTTCAGCGATATATTATGTAAAAAATGTCTGCATGGAAAATGTGACTGCAGTAAGAAAGAACTCTACTCCGATAAAAGGTGTTCTACTTTACAATCCAATTGCTTCTTGATCCTCTTTATAACTAAATGAGGAAAGCGCCACATGATACAAAATGAAGCATATGAACCCTTTCCCTCCCTATAAATTAGTCCCTATAACTGGGTTTCCCACTGATATCAGAAGGTACATCATTCCTTTAAACAAGTTACTGACATTACTCAGGCTGCTAGGTATTGAAGTGGATGTAATTAAAAATTACATGTATGATGTGTGTTCAGAATATAATGCGAATAAAGTTCCTACGCTTGAGAAGAGCTCTGAAGGGAGAAGCTGGCCAAGGTCACTTGGTGTGGGGTGCCAGGTATACATTAGAACACTGATCAGGTGCATTCCAGCCCTGTCAGAGTCAAGACATTCTTTTTTGTGATATCCTGTTCAAGTGCCATGTATTAAGAAAAATGTGAAAAGTGAGTTTGTAACAGCGGTACACCATAAAATTTTGTGTGAATTTGGGTAAAAGTGCATGAGAAACTTTGTAAAGCTTTGTAAAGCTTATCGAGAAGCTGCACTATCATCTGCACATCAGGCTGGGCACCGGACGGAGGCACATCAGGCTGGACACCGGACGAAGGCACATCAGGCTGGACACGGTGGCACAAGGCCTTCAAGGAAGGATCAGAAGATGTTGAAGATGAACATCGATCAGGACACTGCTCTTCATCAAAAGTGGAACGGAATGTGGATGCAGTGAGGTTTGTTCTCAACCTCGACCAATGGCTCACTATAAGAATGATGGCAGAGGAAACAGGAATTACCAAGTCAATTGTTCATGAAATCAGATTTGAGCATGAGAAAAGTTTGTTCAAAACTTGTTCCAAAGAACTTGTCACCTGATCAGAAGGAACACCATCAACTTGTTTGCCAAGATCTGTTGCAAGTTTGGAAAGAGAGCCTGATTTTTTGAGCAAAGTGATCTTGGGAGATGAATTCTGAGTACGATCCTGATATAAAGAAACAAAGTTCAAAATGGCACGTCACCTCGCCCCTACAAAGCTCGAATGAGCAAATCCAAAGACAAATTAATGGTTATTGTTTGTTTGTTTTAATTCGCAAGGAATTGTCAATAAGGAATTTGTACCTACTGGTCAAACTTTGAATCAAAGATTTTACTTGGAAGTTCTTGGTCACTTGAGACAACAGAGTTTTCTGTGTGTGTCCTGAGATTTGCTCAACTT